TTACTCGCAATAGTGATGTCTTCAGCTTTACGAGACATATCTACAGAGTCACCAGCCAATCACAAACCACTGTGCTTCCTTCACTAAGCTTAGTTCACCAACCAGCGTCTGTTAGGATGGGCGATATCTTTACAGAGCTATATCATAAAACGGTACACCAAAGGGTCCGACAACATCGTGGCAGATGCCTTGTCACGAGTACACAAAGTGGAGTCCCCCACTTCCACAGTTTTCCACTTGTCATCATCTTTGACTGCAGGAAGAAGTATCAGCTCTAAGTACCACTTGGGGCTGACAATCCCCAAGTGGGCATGTAAAGGCATAGACAAAGTTGGTCTCTTGAGGTACGTTATCCCTACTGAAGTCAAGCAAAAGATACAACTAGTAATATATTATGAGCGTAAGAAAACCGTCAACCTGCTAATGAAGAACTCAACGTTGAAGTTCAACGTTGTCTACGCCTTCTCATGCCCATATGGAGATTGTCAGCCTCAATGAACACAGTATTTAGGCAAAATAACAACGTCCCTCTCTAAGCGATTAACAATGGACTTGTATCCAAGATTGACCATGTAATATATCAATTATACAATGTATATATATGATGTAATTATATAACCTGTGCTTGTATAAGCACCTTCATCACCTTCAGTGATTAAGTGCTTGATTGCACACTAGTTTCTTTATCAGCTATCTCACCCTGTCAGAGTAAATGAGACAAATGTATGTGAATGCATGTGTGTGTATATATGTATGTATGTGTGTGTGTGTATGTATATGTATGAGTATAAAGTGTATATGGAAGCTGATCAGAATTACATTTCACCTTTGTGAATGTACATTAAGGACACTATGTAAAAGACACATCAAACACTTTATGTAGGGCATACCTAGATCTGTGTATCTATGTATTTACGTATGTAGGTTAGCTTAGCATTTTAAGAGCACCGAATCACCTTCTGTGGTTGAGTGTTCAATAAACCCTTGAACTTATGTTTAACACTTCTCTAACCCTGTCCATGGAGGACAGAAGAAAATGTATATATGCTGGTTAGCATTGTAAATGTGTGACCACGTCTGTGGTAGAAAATAATAATAATAAAAAAAAATGCATAAAAAACAGGGCTCCGTCAAGGAGCATATAATCGCCACACACAACGAGATAATCACCAGGGATATTTTGACGAGGAACACCGAAATAATTGACAGATACAATAATTAGACATCAGTGAATTGCTGCATATCAAGAAATCTAGACCAGCAATCAATAACCAGCTAATACACAATCACACTCTACTCACTTCAAGACCCTGGGCCAACGCAGAAGCTGGACTGAATGACCCTGCAACAGAAACGCAAGTAGCCAGAAGACCATAAGCTGCCAAGATGTCACACTCTATGCTGATACATTTAATACCATATTAATATCCCCCCATGTAATGTCTACCTAATATTACACTAAACATCCACCAGTCTCACAGCTGATAACCCAATAAATTTTACTATCTCAGTTTATGATAGCAACAATAACGATATAAGATTACACAAAACCCTCTTTACCATTCTCGATAAAGCGGGTGTTACGAACCTTGCCTCCTGTGGAGGTTAGTTTCAAGTATAAAATGTTGGTGGACACAGTGGAGAAAGGTTGATAGGAAAATATCTACAGGTGATATCAGAGAGGCCGCGAGCCACCAGTAATACTCCGCCTAGCAAAGTAGTGCCTTCTCAGCTGGAGATTGTTAGGAATAATGTGAACTGGAATAGCCTATGTGAGGGAAAAATGGACACAATCTCAAAGCATGCATAAGGAATATGGTAAATAAAGACATTAAGGATTTGATTGCAAATGTAAAGAAAAGAGTATTAAGGGGCGATGACGCAAGAGAAGTGGACGCCATCTTGACTTGAGGGGAAGTGTATCGCTGACGACCAGATCCAGCTATCTGAGGGTTTTTCTTTGGCCGTACAGTCAGATAAGCCTTCCTTTGTATCTAAACAGGGATGCAAGAGAGGGTAGAGTAGTTATGCAGACTTTAGAGATGTTTTATAAGAAAGAGTCCAGTTTCCTAGAGTTTCATATATGCGTCACTGGTTGATAAGTGTGGTGGCTGTGTGCACGATTCCAGATTTGAGATTGTGAGCCATAGGGTAGCCAGAGCCCACTTGGGAGTTTCATTAATACAAAATGACCTGGTGTTGTTAGCAACAAAATTTCATATATGTAATATCGTAATACATATAAATTTGGGTCTTTGTACTAGGCTGTTTTCCTTACTCCTTGATTTCCCCTAGGCTCCAGTAAAATCATCTATTCCCCTAGACAACATTTAAAGGTCCACCACTGCCAAATTCTTGGTGAAAGGTGAAACACTCGATCGAAGGACATGGATCGGTCTTAGGACATGGCTCGGGTAAGGTCTCGGTCCTTGGACACGGTTTGAGCCTCTCATAGGGCGTGGAGGCAGTCTCGGTCCTAGTAGATATCGCGACCCTAAGAGATATGGCGGGGGAGTGAGCGGGGCTAGGAGAAGGCTAAGTCGTGGGCGGGGTCCTGGGAGAAGTCTCGGTCGAGGGAGCGGTACTCTGAGAGGGCTCGGTTCTTAGCGGCGTCCTCAGAGAGGGCTCGGTCGAGGGCGCAGTCCTCGGAGAGGGCTCGGTCGAGGGCGCGGTCCTCGGAGAGGGCTCGGTCGAGGGCGTGGTCTTCGGAGAGGGCTCGGTCGAGGGCGTGGTCCTCGGAGAGGGCACGGTCCTCGGAGAGGGCTCGGTCGAGGGAGCGGTCCTCGGAGAGGGCTTAAATACAGATGGTAAACCAACCACTAAACCTTAGTTAACCACCCATAGCAAGCAATCAAAGGGCATTTTAGGTCCTCTAATAAAATCTAAACCATCTACTTCCACTCCAAAGTGGAAATTTGGCAGTGTGGGCACATACGTTATAGGTTCCTCAAAATCTACAGCTACTGTGTCACCCAAGGCGGTGACTCCCAAAGGTGCTACAGGCTGGGAACGTGTTTTTTATGTGATGAACATTCCATATTTAACTGCACTATTTACCCTGATCGTACTACACGCGTATAGCGACTCATGGAATTTGATAAATGCACCAGGTGCCTAAGGTTACATGACACCAATATCTGTACAACCCAACTGTGCGCCGGCAACAAGTACAATATGGGGCAGCACCACTTAGTACTGTGTGGGGACCTAAAATTAGAGTCCACCAATGCAATGGTGGAGGAAAAGACTTCCACCACCATCCAATACTGCAAAGTATGACAAGGTATAACTGTCATATAGACAAAGTCTTAAGAACAATGGCTGGTGTCAGAGTCTTACTTTGACACCAGCCCAACTTATCATAAAAAAGGGCCAACACCTGCAGGTTATTCAACAAAGGGTTCCAAAAAACATTTGTCACCCAAGAAGTGACAGATAAATTCCTAAAAGACAAGGGAATTAAGCTGGCTTATAAAATCATGTCTGACAACCTCTCCAGCACTGGGTTCCTCGTAGGTGCAAACTATTACCAGAAATTCATTACTGGACAAACTAAAAGGCAGGGAATGAATCTGTTATTGTCTGCGTGAGGCAATTTGCTCACTGGCCCAGTATTGAGTCTGAAGCAACCCACCCCTGTAGACAACCAACAAGTCAACCCAGTGACGGTTAGGTGACTAGGCAGAGAACAGTAAACACATAATTTCACAGACATGTCTGAGGATAAGCTTAATCTCCATGTATATAAATTAAGGGATCTAGCCACCTTATGCATCGTCTCTTAACAACCTAGTACAGACGATGCCTGGACAGACAAAGAATACCTGCACTCAGTTGTCTACAGGGACAACCAATACTGGGTCAGGTTACCATGGAAGCTGAATCATCCTCCGCTACCCGTAAATCATTTCATGGCACAAAACCAATTAAGGTGTCATGTGTTGCGCTTAAATAGAGTCAAGATGCCAAACCCACTGAGACCAATGCATGAATTGTTTTGAATGTGACTATTTCATGGATATACTCTAATGCCAATATTCAGGCAAAACTCCTTAAAAGTTAATAAAACAAATATCACAATTAAAATAATGTCAAACCTCAAGCAGCTTTTGAAATTCTTCAAACGTCAAAATATCAACACTAATATGTTAAGCAATATTCATAGATATATATATTTACAAAAGCGTTTTCCCGAAGCACACTTACTTATCCAATTTCAATTAGTTATTTGATAGGAATATACATTTCTTATGTGTCTTCTACATCAGTTTATTGTGTAAAAACTAGAAGGATATGTACTCATAAATTATTGTGAGTAAAGAATTTGATCATTAAGTTAGTGACTATAGCATTTGAGCATTAAATTAATGACAATAGCATTTGAGCATTAAGTTAGTGACTAAAGCATTGAGCATTAAATTAGTTGCTATAGCATTTGATCATTAAGTTAGTGACAATAACATTTGAGCATTAAGTTAGTGACCTATAACATTTGAGCATTATGTAAGTGATTATAGCATTTGTGCTAATATCTTACTAGCGTTACTATTACTTCGGGTAGATTTTGTAAATAGTATCAACGTTTAATAATAGAATCTACACATTCTGCTGACAAGTTTAGACCAATTTCCTTTATTACAATGTAATGTGTAAAAGACTTACAGCGCTATCTATTAACATTTTACATGCTACTATAGATCCTACAAAAATTTAAGTAACAGTGAGCTGAAACTAATCATTTCCCGAAAGGCATGACGGGTCCACATATAATGCTTTCATTCCTACATGTAGTAAGTAAAAGATAAAATTATTATGAAATACAAGTATGATGTGTATTTCAGTAATTCAAGGACTTGATGGAAAGATTGATTTAATATTAATTGTAATATTGTAAATATTAATAAACAGTGTTTTATTGGCTTTATTGGTATTTTGATAAAAATAACAGTGCTCTAAACACAATGTAGTTTTTAACTTAATAACAAAGAGAAGCAGCTTACCTACGGGTGGCTGGAGTGCTTGAACAAGGTGGCAGTAACTAGCAGCGCCAGTGGTTGTCATCCCCACCACTGCAGCGTGCCTCATCACATATAAATACTCTTGATCCCTGATCTCTCGCCAAGCTTTTGTCACGTGGCGAAATTCATTCTCAACTTCTTGCAGCTTTTTGTTAAACTTCTCAGATAATCTGCTCAGCCATAACTTGTATAATTCCCAACGTCTTTTAAAGTTCAAGGCTCTAATATTAGTATTTTCGTAAGCTCTCACTTTTTCTGCATCTACTAAGGGTGTTTCCAAACCAAGTTTTAGCCGATTTTGATGGTTCTTTAAGAGCTCTTTAACTTTGAGATCTAATGCACTCATATTATCACGTATTTCGAAAGCTTCTATATCTTTTTCCAGTGATTTGGCTGTTATATCATACCTCAGAATATTACGGTCAGTACCACTTGTGCTCAGTTCATCTTGGAGGTCTCTGTCATCCATCATTCTGTCGATTTCTTCTGCACCAAAAAGATCCTCAGCATCCTGCCACACTTCGTCAACTAGTTTTGATTTACTGTTTTTGTTTAACTGGTTGGTAGTTTTTTTCTTAGTGGTAACTTGTGTCAAGTCGTCTGTGCATAATTTTGTATCTAAAAGCCATGTTTTTAAGCTCATTTCTCTAAACTGCTCAAGTACATGCACGGATAATATGTCCTCTAATGAAAAAACATCAAGCGCCAAGATTCCACTTGGAGACGAAAGTTCCTGAATAACTCTTCTCAAAGATAAAACCTCTTTTTGTTGTTCCCTTACTTGCCAGAGCAAGTTGGTGTTCATTTTATGTATTTCAGCTGGAAATGATCTCCGTGATCGAAGATTCTTAGCGAGTTGGTTTATTTGGAATCTAGCAATAATCTCACTTTTGGTTCTTGAGCCAACTCGTACGATATTATCTGTATATTGACTCATTCCCTCCAGAAACTGATCAAGAGCATGGTTAGTAAAACACACTACTAATATAGGTGATGGTTGGTTCTCATTCTTCCATTCTTGACTGTTGTGAAGAAGCACCTGAGTAATTTTAAGGCCTACAAATGTCTTGCCAGTGCCTGGAGGGCCTTGTATGATAGCAAGTTTTCTAACAAGAGCACTGTGAAGAGCTCGGCGTTGAGAGTCATCTAAACCTAGATCATCTTCAGTGGGCCAGTGTTGAAGTTCGTCCATTACTCTCACAGCTTGAAGTCGCGGCAAGTATTCATCGTGGTTTAATACAATTTTCTTAGTAGTTTGGAAGAGTTTACTGTAAGCTTCCGACTCTTTCATCATATTAGCTCTCCGTAATACACGGAGGTCATACACTGAATGTTGTGACAAGTAACTTGGATGTTCCATATATGGTTGGACATGAACTATATAGGACTCCAGTGGGAATGAATCCTCTGTGATATCTTGGAGAGCACTAAGAACATGTTTATAAGCCACGAAATATGACCTTGATTCTGCCATGGTGAATACAGAATCCTTTAATTCACCAATATCTGACTCAAACTTTATGCCAATTATACCATCCTTGATCTTTTCTGTGTTTCTGTCAGCTATTGATCCAAGAATAATAGAACAAAATTTGTCTTTACTGAAACATAAAAGATTTCCATAGAGAAGCCTCTTAGAATTTTCAAGTTTGAACTTTTCTGGTAGATTTAGCTGTATATGATGTATCATCTCATAACTCTGTATGTCAGCTCCAATAATTCTCACATCTCTGTAGATCCAGATGTCTCTGTTCTGAGAGCGTACGTTGCTTCTAAATGCTCTTATGCCATCTCGAAGAGGTCTTACAAAGTCTTCTCTTAGCAATCGAAATTGTACATCCAGGTAGTGATTAACATCCAAGTATTTCCCTTCAACAATATTCCTACGAAGAAATGGATTCTCCACGTCGTTAAGATCTTGTGTTGTGGGCAAGACTGACACTTCTCGGAAATCATCGGGAGGTGGCAGGTGATCTTCCCATCTGTCTTTGTGTTTTCCCTTGCGCTGTACATGTCCTGATTCTTGCAGCTTTTGCTTGTGTTCTTCAAGGAGTGCTTTTGTTTCTTGAATTTTATTTAAAACAGAAATTATGTGTTGAGATGAAGCCAGAATTTTTTGCAAAACCATTATACAAGTTTCTAACAAAACGTAGATATTGTCAACAGCGCGGTTGGGCATAACATTTACATAAACATGAACAATTTTACTCAGCTCATCAAAAAATGTATTTCTAGTTTCATTATCTGGTTGCAAACTAAACTTGATAGAAAATTCTATAAGCTGAGAGATGAACGTAGGTTTAAAGGTTTTGCTAAGCAGGTTATATAAGTTTTCACGGTTTGACCTGGTCTCGGATGCATGAGACAATACTCTCATTAATAGGCATATTTTATCCAAACTGACACTTGCCACATCATGAATTAGCAAATAATATCCTGAATTTTCCATCTGTAGTTTCATCACCACCTCATCAGGGTAAAGACTAAGCATATTTTCTAAAGCTTTATATCCAATGGGATTTTCTCGCTTCCTTCTGTTAGATTTCTGGTCATATCTTTCCAGTGATTGAGTATTTCTGTTATCTGCGGCACTCAAGTCGTCTTCGCTCTGTGACCCCCTTTGACGCCAATGGTTACCATTTCCTCTTTCTCGGGAATACCTTTCTCTTTGTGAAAGAGTTTTCCCTGCTGCTCCTCCTCTTCCTCTATGGAAGACAAATGTGTCTCCCGCTCCTGCTTCTCTTCCCCTGGTTTTTGCATTTTCTTTGTATTGACCACGCTCTTCTCTTTCTTGACCATTCCGTCTCATTTCACCACTCTCTGAAAAGAAGTGTATAGTAATATAAATAAGTGAGATATTCAATGTTTTAGTTATAAACTAAGATTTTCCTAATTAAACACTCAAAAATCATCCATTTTCTATTAGTTTTTCAATTCAAGAGGACAGAAGTAATTGTACAATATTACAAGTAATGACAGCACAACGAATAATTCAGGAAACAATGTTAGCTCCGGTAATATCTAACCAAGATAATCGAAGACCTACAGAGTGAAGCCCAAACACAAACCAAACAACAAAAATATATAGGAAACAAAGTAGTACTCCCAAAATGCAAAATATATTATCCTCTTGGCAAAATTTCATATTTTAAATTTAACGAAACCTACAAGAAAATAGAGTAAGTGCTAATAAAAAACTGTTACAGGTATAACAAGCTGTAACCTTGGACGAACTTGATCAGGTAAACTGGACCCAGTAGTGGTTGCCGAACAAGACTTCCCATAGAACACTAATGGTGAGAACTGTCAACATCTTTGGAAATCTATTACAGGTCATGGTGAACTAAGAAATTAACTAAAGTGACATAAAGGCTGCATATATTGTACCTGGATGGGGTTCTGGAAGTTCTTCTACTCTCTAAGTCCAGCCTGGGGCCATGTTTGACTTCTGAGAGCTTGGTCCAAAAGGCTGTTGCTTGGAACGGCCCGCAGGTCCGCATATCCACAACAGCCGTGTGTGTCCGGCACTTCTTGAAGAAAACTATCCAGTTTTTTCTTGAAGACGTCCACGTTTGTTACAGCAATATTTCTTATGTTCGCTGTGAGTATGTTGAACAATCGTGGACCTCTACTGTTCATGCAGTGTTCTCTGATTGTGTCTGTGACACCTCTGCTCTTCACTAGTTCTATTCTGCATTTCCATCCATATCGTTCATTCCAGTTTATTGTTATTTTACTGTGTAAATTTGGGACCTAGCCCTCCAGTATTTTTCATATGTATATTATCTGACATCTCTCTCATCTCCTTTCTAGGGAGTACATTTGGAGAGCCTTGAGACGATCCCAATAACTTTAGTGCTTTATGTTCTCTATATTCCCTCTTTCAGCAATCTCTCCTGCTTTGAGAATATTACGGAAGAACAAATACTGGTTCAAATAATTGAGTACCTCTTCTTAAACCAGATAGTTTCTCCTAAAATTCAGATCTTTTCCACACTTAAAACAGCATAAGTTAAATGTCAGACATAGAACACGCAGATCCTTTTCTATGAATTCCGACAAGCACGTAAACGAAACCAAGCAGTGATCAAACAGAGCTTTGTTAAGGATTAATAAATATTAGTGAGAAAATACTATACAGGGAAAACTTTATGAAGGAACCAACGAGGAAACCTCAAAAAATTCCCCAGCAACTCTAAAATATCATATTAACCAAAAAATTGCCATTGACCCATCTTAATAAATAAACGTAAAATTTTATCTAGAAACTCCAGTGTTCTATAGCAATGCCCATTTCATGAATCTCTATTTTCTCAGGTATTACCTGGTATTTAAAAATACTTCTTTAAACTGTATTTTTGTTTTAATTTTTATTGTCCATTAATGTTCAGGTGATATTATTAATAATGTTCTTTCCTTGCTCACAATAATATTTTGCCACATCTGACAATCAGTTTTGCTATTTAATTTAAATATGTATCGTATTCCCAGTTGTTAATCAAGTCATATTGCCATTAATGCACAAGTGCAATGTTTGATTCAAATTTTAATTTTATATCAAGCTTACAATTAATGTTAATACTATTCAAGTATTATCACTTTAAACCTCCATACAATCATACAAAATAAGTATCTCAACTGACTATGAAATTGTTATCGATATTATCAACAGCTCTTCATTCAAATTCAATTTTCTTTTTACTTTACTACAGGTTAATTCTATTCAAGTTATTTATTCCACTTACTTGCTTGTTAACATTTTATCGTTTTAAATAATGATTTAAATTAAATATTCCTTTCTCATTTATATTTTCTTTTGATAAGGCAATATTTATTTAAATTTTACTTGTTTGTAGTATGAGCTATTTACTACTGACATAACGTGCATTGACACTAAACTGTGAATATAAAGTTATTATTATTAATATTAACTATTACTACATAATTGTAAAGTATAGTAATAATCTCACATTAATCCATCATACTGCAATCATAAACCCTGAATGAGACCTTTATCTAGTATCCATGACTATCATCATTTGAATTACAGCAAACCTTGCCAACTGTGTTCTAACAAATCATCTTAACTTATCATTATATTTAAGTTGTTAACATATACTGTGATACTGTTATAATCCCAGGTGCCTGAGAAACGAGTTTACCCCCTGAGAGTTATTCTACCAGACCTGATCTAACTAAGAGGTCAAAGAGATGGGCGTGGAAACATACATATGTTAAATGCTGGGTTAGATTTGCAAAATGGCTTAAAAGTATGGGCAGTGAATAAGAATATAAATAAATGACTTGACATGAGATGTGGAGAATTTGCAGGTGGGCGTTCAATCCCCCGACCGTCCAAGTGGTTGGGCACCATTCCTTCCTCCCATCCCATTCCCAAATTCTTATCCTGAACCCTTCACAGTGCTATATAGTCGTAATGGCTTGGCGCTTTCTCCTGATAGTTCCATTCCATTCGCTTCAGAGGTCTTTGACCTCACTTGAGCTGAAGAAATCGTAAGGGGGAGGTCGTGCTCCATTTGATCCCCTGGTGACGAAGAACCTCTGAGTGATATACCTTCAAGAAGAAGGAAGTGGACAGACGTCTCGCTTGTGGAATAAGTCTGTGGACGTGTCAGCTCAAGTTGTGGACTACTGGGAGAGTGTGGAGCAGTCTTTAAAGCAGGTCTGTGGGCAACTTAGAGCGCCCTGGTGGCGACTGCTCAGTCAGTGAGCTCCGCAAGCGGACCAAATTCTGTGGTAAGCCATTTTTACCAGTTTTACAGACAGGGATTGCCTGTAGTGGTCGTGTGCCCATCGACCGTAGCAAGTGTCTTTTGATATATTTGGCATATTTTATTAAGGCAGAAGGCCTAAGTAAGAGAATAGAGATGAGGGAACCAGCTGAGGAGAGGAGCAGCACTTCCTCTCCCACCAGGAGCTTGGAGGCAACTGACCGCCCGGCTGGAGACGGACTGTCATGGGGAAGTGGAGAATGGACTGGCCCGAGCGTGGGGGAGTCACCTCATGGCAGGCAGGAATCAGAGCGAGTGAAGACATTTAATGTGTAGTTTATTTTAATTATATGTTTGTAGAGGAATATCTTTATGGCATGTCAGTGGGTTGCAGGTTTGTCTGGGGAAGGAGTTGCTGAGAGAATTTCGAGCCAGTAGAGGAGGAGTAGTGGATGAAGCTCCAAGGTTGTGGGAAGGTACTGAACTCTGTGGAAGAGCAGCCCCCACAAGGAGGAGCAGGACCTCAAACTGTGAGAGGAGAAGCAGTGGAGTGGAGTTTCACGTGCTTCTGTGATACCAGTGGTGAAGCATCATTGCTGTTCAGGAAAAACGTCATGGTGTAGCAGCCTGGAAGAGCTGTAGAGGACCCTGGTAGAGAATCCTGGAAAAACTTGAAGATGTTCAGGGTAGTAAACCTCTAGATGTAGGGAGGAGGTTCTTATTGTCTGCTTAAAGAGTGCTTGAGTGTCATTGGCGTGCAAGACGCAGTGGAAGGTGGGTGACAGATCATTTTTGTATCAAGGAATATTTATACAGATGTTTATAGTGTTACAGCCATAGGCTGAGTTACCTGCATATATTTATGTACATTCTAGGGCTGATTGTGCCATATTGTATTATGAGATATAATCCACTTGGTGAAGTTGATTAAATAAGTGGCGAGCCAGGAGTTGAGCTACCACTTGATACAGACGGCAGATAGAGCCATGATGGTATTGGACTGCAACCAGGTTATAGTATCATATTGTTTAGAGGTTGTCTATTCCTATGTATTGTATGTAAATGTGCTGTATATGTTCTTTGTTGTATTAAATGTTATAGTTAACAGGTGTTTGCCCTTGTCCTAGTGAGGCTTCCCAGAAAGTAGAAGAGAGAGAAAAAGAGAGAAGGAACCACAGCTGTGGACAGGGTGGTATAGAATTATAATTCAAGAAAGGGGGACTAAGGAGATCATACCAACCAAGGAGAGAGTGGGGAGTCACAGCGGCTCGAATTGAGTGTGTGCACGTGACAACGAGGCCAGTGCTGGAGCCAAACCCCGCTGAATGTGTGATGCTGAGTCCCTCTCCAAGAGCAGAGAGCGCACAGGGTGATCTCCTGATCAAAGTACAAGCACTCTACGGGTTTTGGTTGGTTGTATGGAAGGGACATGCGCAACCTACCTACAACACATAAAAGATACACAGTGAGTAATTACACTGTCGTGATGTATTAATGAGCAAATCCGTAGGAGCCGTGACGCGGGTTCGAACCTATGCACTGGGTGTTCCAGGCACATGTTCTAGACAACTCTGTGTTCACTATGTCGTGGCATAGTGGGCTAAGGCTTTTTGCCTGGGAATACCCATCGCATAGCATCGAACCCTCATCATCACGGCTCCTACAGATACACTATGATGACGTTAGTGCGAGGTAAGATAATGTTTTTTATATATATAATTATTTACTTGTCCATTACTAAAAGATATTTTAACCCATCTTGTTAACAATCCCAGGTACACAGTTATCCACAAGTGCTGTTCAAATCCGAGACGTGGTGCTCTTGAATTTTACTACGAACAGGAGTTAAAATGCACCAAACATATCAGAACGAGAGACACCTCTGGACACATAATTTCCCAGATAACATTCACTACGTCTTTCACATGAATATTAGCTGTAAACTGCACAAAGAAAGTCTTCCCAAGTAACTTCGTGTATGGAATTGGCAACATAAACCAACATATTGGCCATATTGGCAACATAAACCAATGAACTGAAATTGGTAACACAGAAAACATCTCCGAAGATGTGCACACATTTCTTCGT